GCTGTTGCAAGCATGCATGCATGCATGCATGCAACAAGGAAAGGAACGCGGTATGGCAGCACTGCACGGAGAAAGAGAAGCTCCGCGCAGTGCTGCTACACCGCCTGCCCTTTCCCTCCAGCAGCCTTTCAGTTTACCCCTTTTCGAGAAGCTGGGGAAAAGAAGAAGAAGCAGACAGTCCGTCCGTTGCAGGGGAGGCAGCGGTAGGAACGACGAGAGAGGATTTCACAAAGGAGGAGACGCGGCAGAGAAAGTGAGAAGACGAGGCAAGGGCCGAACTCACTTACAGGGAGAGACTAAGAGAAAGAAAAAAAAGAAAAAAAAGGCACAAGCCACAAAAAAGATCGACAAAAAAACGCACACTTGATGAGGCAGGCAGCGAGGCCGTTCGCAGTAGTTCGTCAAATGGGGATATATATATATATATATATATATATATATATATATATATATATACATATACATATATGTATATATATACATCTATGTATAGATACATATATACATACCTTAAGGCAATTATGGCATTCCAGTAATGAAGTTGTTGCTGGAGCGAGGCACGCGCTTCTGGCCGCATCAAGCGGAAGAGCTCATGCTGCGAAATATAAAGCACGAGAACAACAGCAGCAGCAAAATGCGCTGCAGAATATAAAGCACAAGAGCAACAGACACAGCAGCAAAATGTGCTGCAAAATATAAAGCACAAGAGCAACAGACACAGCAGCAAAATGTGCTGCAAAATATAAAGCACAAGAACAACAGACACAGCAGCAAAATGCGCTGCAAAATAGAAACAACGAGAACAACAACAGCAGCAAAACGCGCTGCAAAATATAAAGCACAAGAGCAACAGCAGCAGCAGCAAAATGTGCTGTAAAATATAAAGCACAAGAGCAACAGACACAGCAGCAATATGCGCTGCAAAATATAAAGCACAAGAGCAACAGCAGCAGCAGCAAGAGCAGCAAGAGCAGCAGCTGCTGCTGCTGCTACGCGAGGCATCGTCGTGGAGTTAAAAGCCGAACACGTGGATCTGAAGTAGCGTCCTTTGCTGAAGGAGCCTCTCCACTTCTTGAATTGCATTCGCGCATTTGCAGCCTCGCAACTGTATGAACACGCTTTTAAAAAATGTCAGTGAAGACGCAGAGCTGCGCTACAACGCGAAGGCTCCATGTACGTCTCTTACTCGAAGGCGCCTTGCCTTAGCGGCTAAAGGATCTCCCTCTACCTACACCACAGCAGCCAGCGCAGAGTGAAAAAGGCGACGCAGCAGCTACAGCAGAGCGGCAACATACACCAGATATCGGAAATTCTCGAAAAAGAAAGCGATGCATGCGGCTGCCAGACGCGTGCGAATGCGCAACACTCCGTGAACAAAATATCGTGCACGAGAAACAGAAACAGCTGCAAAATTAGAAACAGCTGCAAAATCAGAATCAGCTGCAGAAGCAGAATCCGGTGCAGCTGCAGAATCAGCATCAGAAGCAGAATCAGCAGCTGCACAAAGAGCTGCACCGAAATCAGCAGCAGCTACAGCAGAATCAGCAGCAGCAGCGGAATTAGCAGCAACCCCACCACCACAACCACCATCACTAGGGAGCTGCGACAAAGGACAGCCGCCTATGGAGTGGACCGCTCGAACGTACGTTGGCTGCGGAGTCGATCTGCAGCGCAAACGAAAGCTGTCGGAAAGTGCAAGCGCCATCGTCTGTGGCACCGCTGCTGCATGGTGAACGGCAGCCTCCTTGCGTGTGCAGCTGCTCTGTCTGCTGCCCACAGAAGTCTGCAATCAATGCTCCTTCAAGTGCCCTTCCAGGATCGACACGCAGCGCTTGCAAGAGCTGAGGTTGGAGCAAGGCGAACAAATGCTGCTGCCGCTGTACCGAGCAGCGTGCGCTGCGGGAGGCTGCCTTGCTGCTGAGCATCAACACGTTGCATGCGGCAGCTCGCATAAGCTGCACGGTGCCGAAGGCAGCCAGTGCATGCACACGCGGCTGTGCTGCCTCTGCGAAAAGCCTCCCATCATCCGTCTCCTCGCAGCAGCAGCAGCAACACGCAGCGGCAACGGCAGTTGCTGTGCCTGGATGCAGCAGTGTCAAGACACCCTGCACAGGCAGAGTGCTGCTGCAGTACAAAAGACACCGAACAATCAGGCCGATGGCGGGAAGGCGCTGCTGCAGTTGCTGCCGCTGTAGCTGCTGCGAAGGCTTCTGTTGCTCCCGTTGCTGAGGCATACTCTGGGGAGACTTCTGTAGCGCCTCCGGAGACGCTGCAAAACTCCCCGTGCATGACACGGTGTCTCCGCAGATCTGCGAAGATCTGAGGCAGCGGACTACCTGCTGCTGCAGCAGCAACAAGAGTAATCTCCAAAGAGGAGCAGCAGCAGCTCCTGCCGAGTGCTGCGTCTCCTGCTGCAACAGTGCTCTTGCTGTTCGTAGAGGCCACCTTGCCGCGGCTTCAAAAGCAGCACTCGTTTCGCTGCATCCGCCCACAGACGCAGACAAGGAAAAGTGCAGACAAATAGTGACAAAATGCTGCTGCAGGATCGCCAGGGTGGCCTCTGCTGACTCTGCATGCGCTGCTGTGTGATATCTGGTGCGCAGGCTTGCCAGTCTCTGCTGGGAGAGGAGAGAAAAAGAGAGGCAGAAAGAAAGAGAGCGAGAATTAGAAAGAAAGAGACAGAGAGAGAGAGACAGAGAGAGAGATAGAGAGAGAGATAGAGAGAGAGATAGACAGAGAGACAGAGACAGCGAAAGAGAGAGAAAGAAAGAAAGAAAAAGAGAGAAAGAAACAGAGAGACAGAGACAGAGAATGAGAGAGAAAGAAAGAAACAGAGAGAGAGAGAGACAGAGAGAGAGAGACAGAGAGAGAGACAGAGAGAGAGAGAGAGAGACAGAGAGAGAGACAGAGAGAGAGAGATATAGAAAGAAAGAGAAAGAGAGACAGAGAAAGAGACGGAGAAAGATAAAGAAAGAAAGAAACAGAGAAAGAAAGAAACAAAGAGAAAGCGACAGACAGACAGGTACATAGAGACAGAGACACATACAGCCTTCGCAACGACTCCCGAACTTACGCTGCAGCAAGCAGAGCAGAGGATGCCTGGAGTCGCTGTGCTGCTGCTGCAATGAGCGAAAGCGAAGCGCCTTGCAGCACGACTGCTGCTGCATCCTCCGCGTCTGTCATCTTTTGCGTTCCAGTTGCTGCCCCCGCGGTGTCTTCGGGGATGTCGGTACAGCCGGAGAGTGTTTTTGAATTTTTCTTGCGGGATGCATTGCGCTTTGCCGTTCCCCTGCTAGTGCTGCGCCTGCCTGCTCCCGTTGCTGCTTGCTGCAGCAGCTCCTGTCTCCACAAAACCAAGTCGCGATGCGGCGTGGCAGCCGTAGACACCCAGGGCAAGTCTGCTGCAGCAGCAGCTGCTGCATGCGCTGCTGTCGACACAGCGCGTGCCAGCAAGGCGAACCGTCCTCGCTTCGCGTCTGCTGCTTGCTGGCTGCGCGCGAATGCAGCGACAGTCGCAGAATCGAGCTCTGCAGACATCTGCGTAGAAAACGCATGCGCGGCTCGCAAGGCGCTAGCCTCCGCATCTGCTGCTGCTGCTCCCGCTGCTGTCGCGACTGCTGCTGCTGTCGCTGCTGCCCCCTGCGCATCTTGGGGAGGCAGACAGCAGACGGCAGCCGCTAGGCGCTCGACTTCCTCCAGGAGAAGCAGCCGCATAAGACTCCGACACGCACTGACGTCTTCCTGGAGAATGCATGCGCTGCTGCTGCTCTCGGCCCTTGCTGCTGCTGCATGGGCATGCGCTGAAGCGGCTGCTGGCAGCCGCTGCTGCTGCCGCCGGTGGGCAGAAAAAGAGTTGCTGCCGCTCCTCCTGTTCCCTGCTAAGCTCAGCAACGCACATGCCCTCCAGCGCAAGCTGCTCCCGCACTTGCTCCTGCTGCGAAAGAACGCGCAGCAGCTGCTTGCGACAGCCCCCCTGCTCCTCAAAGCGTTCGGCTGCCGAAGTGCCTCTGCGACGAAACTAATTTCGTCTGCCAACAGCGCAACTCGCTGTCTTGGATAGCAGAAACACGCGCTGTCTCCCCCCCTGCGGGGGTACTCCCCATGATACCAACGCTTGCAGCCAGCGCCAGTAGCAGCATTAGCAGCGGCAGCAGACGCTATGTCCACTGCAGCGCGTATGTCTTGGCACTCGCAGAAGCGTAGCCAGATCTCGTGGGGTGCTCTCTGCAAGAAGCAGCACACTGCGGCGTAGGTACAGCGCAGCAGCAGCAGCTGCTGCAGGTGTATCCCCGAAAGTGCCCCTCGACCGGCAAGCAGAGCCTGCTGCTCAGCAGCAAGTGTGCTGCTGCTGCTGCTGCTGCATCGCATGAGCTGCTGCGGAGTGCTGTTCGCCTGCAGCAGCCTGCAGCACTGCGCGCCGCGCTGCTGCTGCCGCTGCGAGCTGCAGCAGCAGCAGCCGCACGCTGCGAGAGCGGCGAGGCAGCAGCGGAGGGCAGCAAAGAGCAGCAGCGCCGCATGCCCCCTTCCAGTAGCCGCAAAACTCCCCGTAAGGCTGCAACAAGCAGGCATCTGCTCAAGACTGAGCTGCGGAGACAAGGCTGCGCCGCATCGGGCAGCAAAGCGACACAGCAACAGGTGAGAAAACGGCAGCGACAGACTCCCGTCTGCTGCTGCTGCTGCTTCGCGCGCAGCAGCGCAGCAGCAGCAGCCGTCACTGCAGCCGTCACTGCAGCCGCATGCACTCCTCGGCACTGCTTCCTGCAACAGCACGTCGGGAATTTGTGGGATGGGGGAGGAGGGGACAGATGCTGTTGAGGCTGCTGCTGCAGGGGAGCGAGCACCCCACATTTGCGTTGCGAATGTTTCGACGCTGCCACGAAAAGAAGCAAGACTCCGTCTGGAAGCGGCGAGCTGCCGCTCCAGTCGCACGTGGTGCTGCTGCAGAAGGGTGAAGTACACGCTGAAGGGGGGTCTGGAGTGTGCGGAGGCGCAGCAGCGCGATGGCAGCAGCAGCTGCTGCTGCTGCTGCTCCTCCTCCCGCAGCAGCAGCTGCTGCTGCTGCAGCAAGCTCGGCAAGTCAAGCTGCTGCGCCATACGCTGCAGCAGCTCGTCGCGACGCTGCTGCATCAGCAGCAGCGGCTCGTAGAGCGCCGCTGCTGCCGCCGATGCAGCAGCAGCGCCTGTCTGCCCGTGTAGCCGCAAGAGCAAATCAGGAGAGGGTCCAGTGGGGGAGTCAAGCGCTGCAGCGGAGAAAGAGGCGAGCGAGGCTGCCGCAGGCACGCGCTGCTGCTGCAAGATCAGCAGACTCTCCCCCTCTGCACAGAGCTGCTGAGATTGCTGCAAGACTTGCTGAGCGCCCAAAATCCACGACGCGCGGAGCCAGCTCCCTGCCTGTGCGGCAGCTACATCAGGAGCCGCTAGACAGTCGCCCTCCACGCTGCAAGCCTCCAGCAGCTGCATTCTCTCGGTGTCTTGAGGCGAGATCGCGTGAGCAGCAGCAACAAAGGCTGACCACAACCAAGCAGCAGTCCACGGCAAGCCGTCAGTGGCGATTTGCTGCAGCAGCTGCTGCTGCAGCACCAAGAAGGTGCCGTCTCTCAGCGCCGCTGCTGCTGCAGCCGCGGCAGAGACGCAAGCTCGCTGCAAGGCAGCCTCCTCTTGGGCGGAGGAGGCTGCCTTGCTAGGAGTCGTCCTTTTCTTCCCCGCAGCAAAAACGCGACGCTGGCGCTGCCGCAGCGTGACAAGGACGCTTCCCCACAGCTCAGCAGCGAGCAGCACAAGCGCCATAGGCGTGCCGACTGCAGCAGCAGCTGCAGCAGCTGCAGCAGCAGCAGCAGCAGCAGCAGGACCTCCCGTGACAGCGCCTCTTGCTCCTGCTGCAGCAGCTTGTGCTGCGCTAACAAAAGGCTCCCCTGTCTCGCCACTGCAAGCCTTCCCCACGAGATTTACAGCGGGAGCCGCACCCCCCTGCGTCGCGGTAAAGGCATCCTCGCCAGGCAAGTGCTCACAAAATCCATCAGCAGCAGCAGCAGCAGCAGCAGCTGCAGCAGCAGCCTTGCCAGCGTCCGCAGAGACACCCGCGGCTGGGGAAGCAGACGCTGCAGCAGCGCCTGCGTGAGCGGCGATGCAGCAGCTTCCGCTGCTGTACAGAAGCATCGCATGCCCTTCTCGTTGGCAACGCAGCAGCGCATGCAGGTGCTGCACTTCTCGAGCAGCAGCACGGACTGCAGCGTGGCTTGCGAAGCTCTGCGGCTGTCGTAGCTGCAGCAGCAGCGGCGCTGCAGCCGCTGCTGCCGCCTGCGAGCACATCCCCGTCCTGCCAAGGCTTTCCTGCAGCAGCAGCTGCCAGCAGCGCTGCAGCAGCCGCTGCTGAGAGCTGCGCGCAGCAGCACTTGACACTCGAGAAGCCCCCTGCTTCGGAGGCTGCAGCAGCTTCTGCTGCTGCTGCTGCTGCAGCTGCAGCAGCTGCTGCAACAGCGCGGAGGCGTCGGGCATCGCTTTCCGCCACGCGCCTGCCGCAGCAGCAGCAGCAGCGGCTGTTGCTTCTGCTCCACTGTCTGGCGATTGCGGAGGCTGCTTTGCAGCTGCAGCAGCTTCCGCAACCACCAGGATCGCCTCTAGAGATATGAGGAGGCATTGGTGTCGAGGCAGCGACGCCTCCTCTTCCTCCTCCGCAGGGGAGAGCAGCAGCCTGCTGAAGAGACAGAGCAGCGGACTGGCAACGCCTTTGAGGAGCCATGCACGCAGCGCCAGCTGCAGCAGCTGCAGCAGCAGCGCCTGCTGCAGCGGTTCTGTCTGCGGCAAATGCTGCTGCTGCGGCTGGAGACCGTCTAGACGACGCTGAGTGGCTTCTTGCTGCTGCTCTTGCAGCTTCGACCCGCCCGCAGACACTTGCAGCAACACCTGCGAGCGGCACGACACACAGGCATGCAGACGAGCTCTCCTGTGTGCTGCAGCCTCGAACACAGCAGCTTCTTCACCGCAACATGCCGACAGCAGCCCTTCTCGTATTTCCGAACGAACCTCAAGCAGAGCGTTCACGAATTTGCTGCTCTGAGCCGCCACCGGTGAAGCCTCCAGAAGACGCTGCACCAACCCGATAATGCCTAATGGCGAGTCAAAGCTCGTACCACGCAGCAGCAGCAGCTGCTGCTGCTGCTGACAGGAGCCGCTTCGCAGCGCTGCTGGGAGCAGCAGCAAGAGCTCTGCTACACCCTGCAACAAGAGAGGCATAGCAGCAGCGAAAAAAAGCAGAGTTTGAAGCTGTGGCTCATGCCTTTTATGGTGGTCCTCAACCCACTAGAGCATCCGCGAGGGGGCTATGCATGTGCAGCAGCACCAGCAGGGTGGAAAGCAGCACAAGCCTATTAAGCAACTTCTCATGCAGCAGTAGCAGCAGCTTCATGCAGAAACATCAGCAGCATCATGCAGAAACATCAGTAGCTCCATGCAGAAACATCAGTAGCTTCATGCAGAAACATTAGCAGCTTCATGCAGAAACATCAGTAGCTTCATGCAGAAACATCAGCAGCTTCATGCAGAAACATCAGCAGCTTCATGCAGAAACATCAGCAGCATCATGCAGAAACATTAGCAGCTTCATGCAGAAACATCAGTAGCTCCATGCAGAAACATCAGCAGCTTCATGCAGAAACATCGGCAGCTTCATGCAGAAACATTAGCAGCTTCATGCAGAAACATCAGTAGCTTCATGCAGAAACATCAGCAGCTTCATGCAGAAACATCAGTAGCTCCATGCAGAAACATCAGCAGCTTCATGCAGAAACATCGGCAGCTTCATGCAGAAACATCAGCAGCTTCATGCAGAAACATCAGCAGCTCTATGGACGTGCTAAAGCCTGCTTTTCTGACAGCTGCACTTACACCTGCCACCGCAGCCGGCGCTTCCGCGCACAGCACAGCGCTGCAGCTGTCGCCTTTGCGATTGCAGCCTACGCTGCTGCACAAAGCCTTCCAGCATTTTGCAGTGCTACCCCTCGAATTCACACCGCTGCCGCCAGCACTGTGCTCTAAAGCAACTCTTTCTGCCCATGCCTCCGCAGCAAAGGCTAAAGCCTTCCCTGCAGCAACAGCGGCTCATAGACGGCTAGCTCTACATCCGCCGTGCAACGGCAAGGGCAGCTCTGTGCCTCGCCACAGCTGGCAACAATGCATCCAAAAGGGGAGCCGCTGCTTGTCAAAAGCCCCCACCCCCCAACCCCCTACAGGCAGCTGCAGCTGCAACTAGAGACATGCCGAAATTGAACGCGCAGCAGCAGCACTACTACCGGAGGCAGCAACAAACAGCAGAGAGCAGCAGACGCACACTGCAGATGCCGCATGCGCAGAGCGCGCTCGCTGCTGCATGCATTCTCGGGGATTCCGCATGTCACCCGATCTTGGAAACAGCGTAAGGCTTCACAGACGCTCACACCGCTCTGTGCAAAACATCGTGCAGCAAGCGAAACGGCGAAAAGTGCAGCTGCCATCAGGCCGAAACGATGCAGCAGCAACAACCCAGGGCAGCAGCAGTACCAATCACACAAAGGCGGGTGTGGGTAGCATGTATATAATATATGTATTTACATATATAGAGCTATCGCGTGAAGGCGCTCAGCAGCAATAACACTCACATAAAGGCGGGTATAGGTAGCATATATACATAGATCGACCGCGTGAAGGCGGGTGTAAGTAGCACATGTGTATATATATATATAAAAATCGCATGAAGGCGCTCAGCAGCAATAACAATCACATAAAGGAGGGTTCAGGTAGCATATATATATATAGATATATATATATATCTATCGCATGAAGGCGGGTGTAAGCAGTACATATATAAGTCGCATGAAGGCGCTTAGCAGCAATTACAATCACATAAAGGCGGGTGTAGGAAGCACATATATTTGTCAATCGCATGAAGGCGCTAGGCAGCAATAACAATCACAAAAAGGCGCATAGCATCAAGAGGCCAGGGCAGCATCACGATCAATCCCTTGAAGGCAGTGATCGTGAATGGCATTCCCATAGAGGCGTAAAACAGCAAACCCGCCACGCCACGCTTGCAGCGGACCGCTTTTCTATGAGACGCAGCTGCCACTGTGGCTGCAAGTGCGCATGCATCTGCAGCGTCTTGCAGACCCTCGACGTGGCTCTCCGTCTGGTGCTGCTGCTTTTTCTCTGCGAGTCTCTCGCGCTGCTGCTGCAGCAGCATCAGCAGCGGCTGGGGGAGGGCACTGGCGGCTGCGTCGAAAGACAGCGCTGCCTGCAGCAGGAGAGACACGCGGAGGAGAAGCAGCAGCAGCACAGCGCTCACTCTCTGCTCGAGCGAGCGGCTTGCACGGCAAGCACAGCAGCACGCAACAACGAGAGGGCAGTAGCAGCTGCCGAGGGGGGAGACAGCCCACCGCTGGTGCCTCTGTGAATGTGTCTTTGCCGCTGCAGCGTTTGAAGGAAGAAGCCTCAAATCCTGGACCAGTCAGAGCGCTCGCAGTGTGCAGCAAGGCAGCGAGGATCTCCTTCTGCTGCTGCTGCTCTTGCTGGTGAACAGAATGCTTCTGCTGCTGCAAGTGTTGCTGCTGCGTCTCCTGCCTATCAGCCTCGAAAGCGTGCTTGTTGCCGTCAAGGAGAGCCGCTTGCAGCCACAGCTGCAAGTTGAGTGCACGCACAGACGCACGCACACACACATACGCAGCAGCAGCAGCAGCAGCAAAACAGCCATACCACGCGATGCAGCACGTCTGTCAGCCCTCCTGATAGGCGCCTCGATATCCCCCCCCACTGCAAACGCTTCAAGAAAAAAAGAGAGAGAAAGCTTTCACACGCTCACCTCCGCTGCCGCTGCTGTCACAGGAGCTACATAGAACGGCTCATGCAAAGCGCAACATGCACTGCTGGCGCTGCTTCTCGTTGTGCACTCCTGCTGCTCTTGTTGCTTTCTCTGCTGCTGTTGCTGCCCACACAAAAGGAGTGCCTTCCCCAAATGCAGCAGCTCAAGGCGAAGACGCAGCGCAGCTGGTGCTGCAGCGATGCCACAAAAACACACATACACAGACACATACAGACACAGACACACATACATACACAGACACATACCAAACCGCACGCCATCTGCTGCATGCGAAAGCAGTGACAGCCCCCAAACACTAACGCACGAACGCTTACACCGCTAGCAACGCCTCTGCCTCAACAACCCCACCAGTACCACCCGCGAAGGGCAACCTCAGGGAAAGTACCGACACGTAGATTGCGACTTGACTTGACCTTTTAAACCCCCGTAGATGCGGAGGCTCAGATCCACACCTACGAAGAACACCCTGCAGCATCGACAGCAGCACCATAGGCAGCAGCAGCTTACTCGCCAGAAAAAGCCGGCCTTATCTCCTGTCTATCTCTGTCTCTGTCTATCTCTGTCTGTCTATCTGTCTATCTGTCTATCTCTATCTGTCTGTCTATCTCTATCTGTCTGTCTATCTGTCTATCTCTGTCTCTGTCTATCTCTGTCTGTCTATCTGTCTATATCTGTCTGTCTATCTGTCTATCTCTGTCTCTGTCTATCTCTGTCTGTCTATCTCTATCTGTCTGTCTATCTGTCTATCTCTGTCTCTGTCTATCTCTGTCTGTCTATCTCTATCTGTCTGTCTATCTCTATCTGTCTGTCTATCTGTCTATCTCTGTCTCTGTCTATCTCTGTCTGTCTATCTCTGCCTGTCCATCTCTGTCTGTCTATCTCTGTCTGTCCATCTCTGTCTGTCTATCTGTCTGTCTGTCTGTCTGTCTGTCAAGGCAGGAGCAAGGAGAGGCGTGAGAACGGCGGGAGTCAGAGCAGCATGCGCTTCGAAGAGCAAGGAATGACGACTACACGAGCAGCAGCAGCAGGACTGACGACACACGCACTGTGTGAGAAGAGCTCGAAAAGACAAGCACGGAGGGTGGGCAGCAGCAGCAGCCGCTGCTGCTGCTGCCTCGGCTAGCACTGTCAGGAAGCGGCAGCAAACAGCTGCGCCTACGGCTGCTGCTCCAGCAGCTGCTGCGCGTCGCTCTGCAACGAGAGAAGAGGAGACACCCCCAACGGACGATGCGAGCTCCCCTAGCAGAAAGGATCTGACATGCGACCCCTCAGCAACATCCATCTGCTGCTGCTGCTGCTGCTGCTGCTGCTGCTGCAGGTGCTGCTGCTGCAGCTGCTGCTGCCCTGGGGACTGTCTGCGTGTCATGAGGTGCTGCAGCTTCTGCACACGCGTGGCGCTGCCTTCAGCAGCCATGAACATTTCCTGCTGCAGCAGCTGCGACAAGAAGCACGCTGCAATGCCTTTCGCCAAGGGAAAGCCTACCGATTTCCACATGCAAGGCGCTGAAAATTCGCCTCCAGCTGCTCTGCCCGCTCTCGAGGCAGCCTCAACTGCGGCAGCTGCTCCCTGCACCATAGACTCAACTGCCTCTTCAGAAGCCTTGCAGAGTCTCTCCGCTGTCATGCTACGCACAAGCAAGGCAGCCGTGCCGCTGCTGCATGTGCATGTGCCGCTGCTGCATGTGCACGTGCCGCTGCTGCATGTGCACGTGCCGCTGCTGCACGTGCACGTGCCGCTGCTGCATGTGCACGTGCCGCTGCTGCATGTGCACGTGCTGCTGCACCTGCTTGTGCATGCGCAGGAGAACCTCTGCAAGGTCCTCCCCGCAGCGACGGCAGCTGCTGCAGTCGTCTGCAGCGCGAGCTGTTGCTCCGCATGCCGCTGATGATGCGCAGAGGCATCTACGCCGACAGAAGACGACGATACAGTGTCAAGGAAGAGCCGACCTCTTGTGAAGGCTGAATTCTTTACCGCCGCTGCAGAGGGCGTGGGAGCAGCTGCTGCTGTGCGACATGCGCTTTCCGCTGCTTTCCCCAAGACGCTGCCAGCCACATGCGGCGAAAAAGCAGACACCAGATGGCGCTGCACAGATCCCAAGAGGAGAGCCAGTGCAGGAAGGGGAAGGGGGTGTAGCAGAAGCAAACGCAGCTCCTACACGCACGCAGAGGTACACATTTATTTACCCTTACACATACACACTTACACTTACACACTTACACTTACGCACTTACACATACACACTTACACATGCCATGCACACTTACACACTTACACATGCACCTACTCATACACCAAAACACATACACCTAAACATGCACATACACCTAAACATGCACATACACCTAACACATACACGTACACCAAAACACAAACACCTACACATACACCAAAGCAGATACACCTAACACCTACACATACACTTACACATACACCAAAGCAGATACCCCTAACACCTACACATACACCAAAACACATACACCAAAACACATGCACATACACATACACATACACCAAAACACCTACACATACACCAAAACACAAACACCTACACATACACCAAAGCAGACACACCTAACACCTACACATACACCAAAACACATACACATACACCAAAACACATACACCTACACATGCACCAAAACACATACACCAAAACACATACACCAAAACACATACACCTACACATACACCAAAACACCTACACACACACCAAAACACATACACGTACACATACACGTACACATACACCAAAACACAAACACCTACACATACACCAAAGCAGATACACCTAACACCTACACATACACCAAAGCAGATACACCTAACACCTACACATACACCTACACATACACCAAAACACATACACCTACACATACACCAAAGCAGACACACCTAACACCTACACATACACCAAAACACATACACCTAACACATACACCAAAACACATACACCTACACCAAAACACATGCACCAAAACACATGCACAAACACATACACCTACATCTATGCAGACACCCCTCCATCTTCGCTATATATATATATGAATAACAACGCAGCATAGCGAATCCCTGGACGCAGCATGCTGACGACATGGGCGGCAAGCAGCGGGAGGTACGGAGCGCCTGCCTCTGGCAGAGGAAGTCTGTGCTACCTTGGCGAGTTGCAGCAGCGCGTGTCGAGGCATCTTTCTGCCTTACCTCGCAGCAAGCGGTTGCAGCCACATGCGCGATAAGTCCATCGTGAGCTGTGGCTGGATTCGGCAGAGAGTGTCGCATGCGTTTCTGTCGACCGTGCAGCAGCCGCAACATGAGCGCCAAGCAACGCGGTCCGTGGTGTTTCCACAGGATGGAGAAGGCATCCTCCGCTCGCACGTCGTTGTCTTCAAGTTTTCGGAGGCGGTCTGTGACACTCCAGCTGCTCTGACTACTGTCGCTTCGGAGGCAGTCGGCAGCGAACCTCTGCAGCACGCGTTCGGAGACAGCTCGTGAGACGCCAGGGCAGTGCGAAGCCTCTTCCCCCCGCGGAGGCAATTCTTGTCGTTCTGCAGGCTGCAGTGTTGCTGCAAAGAGGCAGTAAGTTGCGACTTCGAGCATGCGGATGCGATGGCGCAGCATCCGTTCTCCGCGGAGCAGCAGCTTTCGATGCAGCTGCGCCTCTTGCAGCTCTCGAAAAGCGAGCTCGTGGTGGGGGGGGGTGGGGTGTTTCTGGTTGTAGTGGGGGGTGGGGTTGTGGTGTTTCTGGTCGTAGGAGTGGTGCTGCTGTTGGTGGTGCTCTAACGCGCTGAACTCGCACGGGAAAGCTCGCCTGAAGGCGATTGCGCCTTGCTGCAGCTGCTGCAAACTCCTGCGAAACAACTCCAGCATTTGTTGCGGCGTATCTTCTGCTGCTGCCGCCTGTGTCGTCGCTGTTGCGTCTGCCGGCAGGAACCGCGCTCCTGGCAAACTGAGCAGCACCAACCATCGAGAAATCGAGCGAGCACTCCACCAGGTGTCTGCATCGCAGCGAGCCGCTGCAGTTGCTGCTGCTGCTGCAGCTGCTGCTGCCGTGGCTGTACCTGCAGCATCGCCAACAGAACGCGCAGCTGCAGGCTGCAGCAGCGAAGGGCTTGAACTCTCGTCGATATGCACATCCGCAGTGCAGAGCGAGACTTCTTCAAGCGCCACTGCAAAGAACAAACGCTGCAGCTGCCTCTGCTTCGTTCCCATCAATACATCCGCTGTCGTCAAAGACCTCTGCTGTAGCTGCTGCTGCTCTAGCTGCTGCTGCTCTAGCTGCTGCTGCTCTAGCTGCTGCTGCTCTAGCTGCTGCTGCTCTAGCTGCAGTTGCTTCTGCTCTGAATCGCCGACTCCCTCTTGAGGCACCGTCGCTTCAGGTGAGCGCACGAAGAAAGCTGCTGCCTCTGCGAGCGCCAAGAGGGAGGCATCTCTGAGCTCGCAGAGCAGCAACACCAGCAGCGGCTGCATGCGCAGCTGCATTTGTCGGTGCAGCTGCTGCTGCGGCAGAAGCGCAGCAGACAGCAATCGTGGCTGCCCATCTGCACTCAACAGTTCTGCCACCGATTGCGCCTGCTGCAGCAGCTGTGGGGTTTTTTGGCAGCAGCGATCCGAAGAGGCAAGCGCAGCGAGGAAGCCGCTGCGCAGACACCCGACTGCAGCTGCGACGACACTAAACAGCGCGCATGCAGGCAGCAGCAGCTGCCGCTGCTGCTGCAGCAGCTCGACGCTTGGCGCAGCTGCACCCCCATGCCGCTGCGGCTGCGCCTTTGCGAGCGGCTGCTGCAGCGGCTGCGTGCTGGCTAGTGCATGTCTGGCTGCTACGAAAGCGCGCGAGATCTGCTGCAGCCAGCACAGCAGCAGCTGCACGAGCTGCTCCTGCATGCATCGCTCCCAAGGGCCTAGTGCAGCAGCCACGCTGGTCGCTCTCCGACGCAGCAGCGCAGCAGCAGCGAGGAGGGCGACGGCTGCCGAGACAGCCGAGGAAGCCTCGCTCCAAGTGGCGAGAAAAGCCTTTC